TACACAATTGAAATTAGATCTCGAGTTCTCGAGCTGTTGCAGTTTTTGTTTTTTGGGTCGGTCATTTGGTTTTTGAAAGTTAACTTATAAACACTACCTACACTAGTTGATTTCTTTGTCTTGCTATCTACTTTTTAGGAGTATTTTCAAAAACCAAGCAAAAATTGTTTTAAAAACTTATTTTTGTTTTTTGGAATTTGGCCAAAAATTCATAATTTAAAAAATGAAGACTATGGTAAAGAAGTTACAAGGAAGCAAGCACTATTTTTATATATAGAAGCACATGTTTCAAAAACCAAAAGTCCAATAGTTATCAAACGATCGAAGAATCAAAACTTCCCTCATGGGAAATCATGAAAGACCAAAAACCCAGCTGGAAGAGCAGCTTCACAAATAAAGAGTTTAAAAAAAAAAAAAAAAAAAAAAAAAAANCAAATAAAGAGTTAAAAAAAAAAAAAAAAAAAAAAAAAAGAGGGGCAAAAAAAAACTGGTCTCTCACAATTTTTTGGCAACAACTATTTGTATTACTACCTCCCAGAACAAGCGACCGAAAACAATTAGCTGCTTGAAATCTCTCATCTTTCAAACACTTGGAGGGAGCTATGAAGGGGCTCCTCCTCGAGGGAGCTATCCAGAAACCACCTTTTACTATCCTCATGTAAACTAATACAGGAGACAGCTATCCAAAAATCAAGGGGTTCAGGGCATTTGTTGATCTTCAACTCAATTCCTAGAATTCAATCTTATGAATGCAAAATAAGAAAACAACTCGTATATGCTACATCCACCTAATTACAACCTTTGAGCTTTTAGCCTCTTAAACTCTCCAAAAGTATTCATTCGTCTCATTTCATTTAACTTTTCCCTCCTTCCCACAAGACCATCACCAATTCATGTAACAAATTTAGGGCAATAAAAAACTCACAAAACAAACAAAGAAAAAGAGAAACGTAAGGAGAGTGCCCATAACCTCAGTTAGAAGCAACTTCAACAGTTAATTTTGGCCGTTCCATTGAAACAAGTACCCAAGTATAATCAATACCTTAATTGTTATGGGCGTATCCACAATTCCGGAAGCGATTTCTACTACACTTTTCATACGCATTGGCTTCATAAGAAGAGCTGATCCAGCACCCTTATTGACAACAATGTCAATTGGGCATCCCATGTTTATGTCAATGAAGTCGATCACGCATTCTTTGTCTATAAGTTCTACAGCACGTGATACTGTGTCTGGATATGCACCGCATATCTGAACACCAAATAGATCTTCTGAGGAATGTCGTCTCAACAATGCCCATTCTGAAGCTTGACCCTATACCACGCAGGACAATAATATAAAACAGTGTTTAATTTAACTCATCTTAAGAAATATGAAATAGAAACATCATTAACAAGTGAATGAATGAGAATCATGCCAAATAATGAACAATGACATTTTAGATTAAAATGAAAAGGGCCAAACCATGTTAGAGAATATATAACTGCATACTTATCTCTAACTGAAAATGTAGTTGCATAGCATCATAATTACTAAATAGCTAAATAGTTATTTGTTTGCATAAGAACAAACAAATAACTTTCAAAACCTATAATTTGGAACTTGATAGCTAGATGATGTCAATCAATTAATAACCCCTTATTAATATTAATTTCTGCAGAGCCAAGGGAAAGCTGCACAACCTGCAAAAGATTTGTACACATTGCCATTTCACCGCATGTCACATCTGCTCCTAAAACTTTGCAAACTCTTCTGAAGGGAAGATTCCCAACAGTGGTCAGAGGGGCAAGATACAGCTTATCTCTAAAATCAATAAGTTTTTTTTCGCGGGGATGTGATTTAAGGCTTGCATCACTATCAGGAAGTACACTGTCGTTCACAACTTCAGACTCAATTGGTGTGTGGCCCTCTCTAATAGTTGCATCAATCATACATGCACCTGTTGCACACATGAGAGATATAAATAACAAGAGAAAGATGAAACTATAAGATAAAGTAATAAAATATAAACCACCATTGTCAATTTCATCAGAATGACAGTTCTCTGAAGACATAGATTTCGGTTTCTTCAGGGGTCGAGATTCATCAGATGAAAATGTTCCTTCGGTCTGCCCATTTTCTTCTGGAACTTCCAAAGGGATATCTAAGTCCGCATCCATGTCATTATTCACTTCGCTACAGCATGTTCTGTCTGCAACACTATCATTTGATACAGCATCTTCCTTCTCTTCTTTGACCCTCGATTTTGACTTTCCATGCCCCTAACAACGCCAAACTTACGTCAATGTCTTATTATTCGATGGAAGCAGATAACATTATGGGTAATAGATTAAGAAATGCATTAGAGTCTATTCCTTGATAGCTGTAGCCTCTTCAACCCTTATCTAGTCAAAACAAAGTGATATACAGGCATGCGAGGAGAAATAAAAATACTGAGTCACGTCCCATGACAAAGATAAAGCTCTCAGAAAAAACACAAAGTATGCTTTCTGGTCATACCAAGAGCCCAAGTTCTTTGAGTTTGGCATCAGCTTTTGGAAATTTCATCTTGTTCTTCCATAAGAGCTTCTGAACATCTTTATTCAGTCCATTCATTTCGGAGCATTTCTTCAAGGTAACTGACGAACCAGCAGGAACACCTTCCTTGTGGGTACCTGCAAATCTACACGCTAAACCGTAGGGGCAAAGTTGTTCGGCACCACTGAAGGGACACTCTCCATCGAGATCTGCTGGTTTCTGAGATCATAAACCTCTTGTCAAAATAAAGGTAAACTCACAAATAAATTTGTTCGATAAAGAAAACGGGGGCTATAAGTGGGATTTTAAATGCACTACCTGAGATTTAAAGGCTTCAATATCATGGCTAAAGCGGCATTTATCACTATACCGACATGAGCTAACATCTCCTGTCTTTGCTATTTCAGGACATAAGTGGCTAGTGGACTTCTGTTCCTGTACAGAGTACATCTGCTATTCATAATCTGGAAATTATCGAAGAGCCTATAACGTATACTTAGAATCATTTTTCTTCATGGAATCAACAGAAATATACAAACAACAAGAAAAAAGACCGAGTTGCATGCAGTGAAACTCATCACAATCGTTTGCAAGTGTTTTATAGTGTTTAATCAATCGTTAACCAACAATTTCAGATAGGAACGTTATATTCCAAACTCCATTCAATTCAAAAAGGTTTCAGGCACTTCAACTAGATTTCAAGTAATGCTTAGGAAAGCAAAATCCAAAACTAGAAATGACGCATGCTAACTTTCACTACAAAAACACAAAGCGACATGAATGACTAGGAACCTGACGGCGTTCTCGTTTCATTTGACGTTTGGACTTCTTCTCCTTCACCAAGCTAGACGGAGCAGCCTTATCATCACCATCATTCTTACCAGTGGAAGCAGCATCCTTCACGTTGTTACAGGAGGACCTCACCGGCGGAGGACGAAGATACTCGCGCTTAACAGGAGCTATGGCCTTGGCCACCAATTCTTCAGGCGTCAACTGAGCTCCGGTTGAGGCCGACAGAGAAGCCGGCTCCTCGGAAACCGCCGTGGGGTCCCGGAGCTCAGCCGAAACTGAGTCTTCCATTAGTGGGCGGGTGGGAGGCTGCGCTAGGGCGCACGAGTAACTGAAAAAGATTGGAAACAAAGTAACAGTGAGTTACATCAAAACGTTTGAATATGAAGGTCTTATCATGCTAGGAATACAATTCGACCGTCATTAAATCCCAATATTCTAAATAATTTTCTTTTAAAAAATTAAAATAACTCTTGAATTTTATTTTTTAATCTATTTTTTTATTATGAGGTAAGTCACTGATTGTTATCTTATACAATAAATCAACCTAATTAAAACTAATAATAATGTGTGGTTTAAAAATTTATTAGAATTACAGTAAAGTAACTAAATTAAATATTAATTTTTACTAATTTTTACTGAATTTTTTAGTCTAAATTAGTGATAAAGTAAATATAGGAATTGTAGACCATGACATATAATATGCCAAATCGTCTTTTGGTCGAATATGTTTATAGCTTATAAAAATATGACATGTCGATTTTTGACTTGATTCGGTAAAGTTAGTATAAACGAAAATGATTAGGTGATAGATTTACATTTAATGTTTAGAATTCAAATCAGACGTTACATTAGATGATTAAACTCATATTCGGTAAAGTTAGTATAAACGAGAACGATTCGGTGATAGATTTACATTCCATGTTTAGAATTCAAATCAGACGTTACATGAGATAATTAAACTAATCTTAAAGAAAAAATAGGCACGAGAACTCCAACAAAACTATACTTTCACGTCACCAATCCATTCATTTCATATGTAAATTTTTATTAAAATATTATCACTAGCCTAATAATTACGAGAATGATATTTTAAGAATAGATTGACTAATATCTGTTTAAATATCTCTCCACGTTTTCATCACACTACATGTATTATAATCTCTTTCAATTGGTTTTAATAGATGTGAATATTTCCCTAAGAGTTGTTGTCGTTTTCTACTATAGTTGTGAAACATTTACGAAAATAAATATTTCGAAACAAATTACAACGAATTTCTACTTGAAGGACGGGTCAGAGGTAATATCATGGAAACGTTTCTTGAAGGACGGGCCAGGTAATATTATTACAAAGTTTAAGGTATATTTGTAATAGTCTCATAATTATCATGACTGTTTATATCTCTACCACGACCACTTCATGAAATGGGGAAGGAAGTGGGACAAATGACCGAGACTACGAGAAGGATTTCTTTGTACTGTAACTGGTATTCTTGTGATCGGTTTAGTCCGTATTTTCTTTTATAGTTTATATTCTAAATTAGATTCATCTCTATAATAATCGAATGCACTAAGTTGTAGACAGAAAAGAGTAACAACTCAACCGTATAACGGGATAGAGTGAATCAGTAAGAAAAGGTTTCAAATGCTAATTATGATATAAAGTAATTATCATCCAAAGAACACAACCTTATAACAAATATGCTTCTCTTTTTTGTAACAAGTTTTCCTACATATTCAGTGAAGTATTTAAAACAAAGCATAGTTAATTGTGTGATTTACACAACCTTAAAATGTCAACAATAATTGAGGAGCTAGCTTACAGTGATGGTGATGAACAAGGTGATCAAAGAGACAATGAAGCTCATCCATCTTCATCAACGAACTTTATTGGTTGGATTCAGGTTTTGTGGGTGCACTCCCATTCTGCTGCATTTGTTGCTGTTGTTGGTGGTGCTGAAGCTGAAGCTGGAGGCTGTGGTGACTGATGGAAGATTGGGGCATTACTCCGTTTGAGGGATGAGACTGCGCATTTAGCTCCATCGTAGCGAGTTTCAATCTCTGAACCTCCGCAGTTAAGGTTTCGTTAAGAGCTGTCACATTTGATAAAGATTCATAAATAAAAAAGGAAAGTTATGAGTGAATTCCACAAGAACTACTATCTACGTGATCAACGGAGTAACAACATCGGTTCAAGGTGAAAAGATTTGCAAATCTAAATTGAAAATCAATGACGGAGGACCCAATACCGTAGTAGTTTGAAAATCAGTGATACCAACAATTTCTTAAATTAAAGAAGCAAACCTGTCTAAGGTTAAAGGAGACAAGTAAAAAACGTCAAGATAATTCTCTTGATCTGGTAATCGATAATGAAATTTCAGTCGTTTGTTATACTCTTAGATATCTTAATAAGATTTCATATAACACCACAAGCCCACCGCTAGTAGATATTGTTCTATTTGTGCTTTTCCTTTCGGGCTTCCCCTCAAAGTTTTTAGAGCACGTCTACTAAGGAAAGTTTCCACACTCATATAAAGATTGCTTCGTTCCCCCTCCAACCGATGTGGGATCTCACAATCTACCCCCTTTGGAGCCCAGAGTCCTCGCTGGCACTCGTTCCCTCTCCAATCGATGTGGGATCTCACATTCCATAACAAACTAAGCCTAAGTGCTAGAAAGAAAGGGAGTCCGATTCTTGTGTGGTTTATGAATAAAATTCAGTGATAGGTAATGTTGTTGAGGATTGTTGGAAGTGGAGTCCCACATCAGCTAATTAAGGGGTTGATCGTGGGTTTATAAGTAAAGAACACATCTCCAATAGTTTGAGGCTTTTTGGGGAAACCAAAACCAAAGCCACCGAAGCTTATGCTTGGAAGTGGACTATATCATACTATTGTGGAGGTTCGTGGTTCCTAACCGATGCTGACACAATAAAGGAAGAAAAAGTGGCCTAAGAGTAAGCAATGAACTCCGGGAAGCCGACGGCCCGCTAATATGTACCAACATTTCTTAATAAAAGTTCTAAGTGACACGCCAACAGTAAAATAACAGCATTCCAGATCAATGTACAGAAGAGAGGTATGAACTCGGATTAGCTACAATTATACAACCTGATAACTGAGGCCTATGAAGTGAAAAGAACCCATATTCAATACTTACAAAAACGAAGATAGGTTTTTCAAAGATTCGAGCTAATCAATGAAGATAAGTAAATTGAAGGTCATTTTCCAGAAAAAAAAATGGCTGACACATTTTGAAACAGCTCACTGAAACGATACTTTAATGGAAAACTTTTTCAGAGACAGACAGGAGGAAAAAGGTAAAGAGAAGTGTCAATACCATCCCGTAATTGTGCTTGTTGTTCCATGGCTTGAAGACGGAACTTCAGTTCATTATTCTGGTTTGTAAGCCCTACTGAATCTCTCTGAATACAGAGCAATTATGCGAAAACTGAGGATTTAGCAGCAGGAAAATGGAAATAGAAAATAATTGTCAATACTCAAAAATTTTACCTGTAAAAGAGTGAGTTGGGCAGACAGTGTGGTAGCTTCTGTCTGAAGAGTCTGAACCTTGTGTTCCAACTCAGATATATACCGCATCTTTCGTTCTTTTGATCGAGCAGCAGACTGACGGTTTGCCAAGATCCTGAAGTAAATTTATTGCTCAAGTTTACAAATCAACAGATGAAGTAATTTAAGTAAATCGGTCAGTGACATAATTTGCATATACCTCTTTGCACGCTTGGGATCGGTCAAAGCAATCTCGGCAAGTTTGTCGTTTGCCATGATTTTCTTCAGTTCAGCCCCACTGAACTCACCATTACCAAACTCCAAGCTGAATGAAGCTGAATTACCGTCAACTAAGTTGTTTGATGAAAGTTGCCCTGGACGAACACCAGGTGGTGTAGGAGGCATTTTGGGTGACTCGTCACCAAACTGCAGCTTCCCCATGAAACTATCCATGGAGACACTTCGATAATGTCTGGTCGTTGGAGCAATATCTCCCCCTGCAGTTCGTTTGATCCCTTCCCTCTTTTCAGCAGAGGAATTCAATCGAGGCATTTGAGCGCTATCCCCACTCTCATTTACACTGCTTTCTGCTTCATTATCACTGCTCTCACCCCCATTTGTCTTCGTTCCACTACCCCTACTATCCAAATCCTCTCGATTCTCATGACCGTTCTTGTCGTTCGTCCCAGAAGAGTTGAACAAATCAATATTATCCAAATTCATATAAGCAGAAAATAAGTCGTCCACATTGTCCCCATCGGATTTCCTCTCACCCGTTCCTTCTAAATTGTTGTCAACGTTTTTCTCCAAACTATGTTCTCTTTTAACTAACTGACTGGCGGGCTTTAACATGCCAGCATTCTCTTTACTACTCGTAGATCGCTCCAATCCACCAGAGCTACTGAATGGGAGAGATGGCTGAATCATTGAAGATAATCCAAATGGAATATCACTACTAGACCGCCTATGTGCTTTACGAGGAGGTAAAGAATCTCCCATCTTAGAAGAATTGGCTCTCATATAAGGTGAGGGAGGCAACAAAGAATGGGAACTGTTATCCCTATCCTCCATTGATGTATCTGCAGAAACCTGATCTGAATTCGATGTAGATGGGGACTCGCGAAATGGAGACGGGCTTAAAGGGGGCAAAGAATCGAGAGAAAAGAAAGAAGGCTGAGATAACGATCGGGAATGAGTAGGCACTGGGCTATAATTTTGCTGGTTCATCGGACGCGAGATCGGGATCTGAGAATACGGCGAAATCGGTGGGATCTGCGGTGAGTTGGGGCTAGGAGGAATCCCAATTCTTCTACTATTATCACTAAGAAAATTTGACTGAAAGTGTGGTGGACGAATTTGTGAGCAGTTCATTTGAGAAATTTTAAGTTGATCCATCGACAAAGGAAGATTTCCAGCAAAAGAAGAAGATGCTCCATACGAACATTGAAGATTTCGCATGTTCTCAGCATTAGCATCGTCAGTATCTCCCATTTCGCCTCAAAAATCAACGTCTCAGCGAATGATAGTGCTCGAGAATCAGAAGAAGAAGAAAAAAAAAAGCCTAAATCACCACTTCACAAACCTACGCAACTCCACCACAGTTCAATCACAATTGAGTACCAAACTCCCAATCATAAACACAACCAAGCGCCCTCAAAATCTGCAACAGATTAATCGAAATAAAGCCTCATATACCAAACCAGAAAATCACAAAAACAACATAAAAGAGCTCAAGAACATTCAAAAGTAAACCAATGAGTTCCATTAACAATAATAAACATTCCGCAGCAGTTAGAAATACCTCAAAGAAAGTAATCACTCCAAGCCGGCCGGAAGCTCGACAATGCCCTCGCTGGAACGTTCGTGACCTCCCTCCTCCGACGGCAGCAGAGCCTGAACAAAAAACCTTAATTCTCCGCAATAGAGAAAAGCATTTCAGTCCAAAATTAACAGCGAGCTTTAAAAAAGCAATCCGCCGGCGAAAATCACGAGGACGCCGGCGATTTCTCTCTCTAAAAATCCCTTCGGCACTCTCTCTCACTCACGACGAAGATGACGATGACGACGACTACTGGTACACCGATTTCCATGACGCGTACGCGTGAATTTAATAAGAATTTGCATTTCAGTCGAATTTGAATTTCGCCTACATTTCAATTTCATTCCGACCGCATTTCGACTTTTCCCCCGCCAAATTTTCACATGAATTTATTTATCAGTTAAATTCTCAAATATTACATTAGATTCTTATTTATCCAAAAAAACACTTATTTTTTTTTTAATTTATGAAAATATAAATTTAATATATATATATATATATATATAATTTATTTAATTATTTGAAAATTTATCATAATTTTATTTCGGCCGTAAAAGCTTATCAAAATTATAGATTAATTTTTAATTTAGTATTTGTAGTTTATTAATATATTTCTTCCCTAATCAATATATCAAATTACATTTCATTAAATCTAAAAAATAAAAAATAAAAAATAATTTTAATTATGAATTTAATGATTTAATTATTTTTATTTTTATTTTTATTTTTATTTTTTGTAATAAATTAGTATCCATATTTCCAAATTATAATAATTTAGTTGAACATTATTGTTAATTAAAAAAATTATATTTTTCTCTAAATTTGTATTTCAATCATTACTCTAAATACAATAATTAATAAATTCTAGACTAAATATAATTTTTTTTAATTCCATTTCAGGATACTTTTTGTTATTATTTATTTTATTTTATTATCTTAAAATATTTCTAAAAATCTAAGCCAAATTTAATAAAGAAAATAGGCACATTAGAAATATTTAAATTTTACGAATATTTTTTAAAGATTAAAATGGATTTAAAAATGGAGAAATAGTTAGTCAACGAGATTGTTTTTATTTTTATTTTTTAATTTATAAACTAAAATTAAAATTATCTGTAAATTGAGGTTTCAATTATTTGTATTTAATTTTAATGATTTGAGAGGATGATAATAAGACAAATAAAGAATCACTAATATTATCACTCGTGACATTATTTTGCTTCGAATTCAATCAATTATAGTGTAACGCAATAAATGGCATCAAATAATAATAATAATAAAAGCAATAAATGAAACTTATAATTTAACAATAATCAACCCTCACATTTAAAATGTGAAATCGTATATATATAATTTTAATTTTGTGTTTATTTAGTTCGTAAATTTTTTATTTTTTATTTAAAAGTTTACTCAAATACGAAAATATTTAATGTATTCTTGAAACTTTTAATCTTATAGTAAAAATTTTAAAAATTAATTTATTAAATATAAAATTTTATATCTAATATAATTCTAGAACTTCCATTTTTTTTTATTTTATATAGTAAATTCATGATTTTTTAAAATATCACAAAGTTAAAAACCTATTAAATATTTATTAAACTTATAACAACCATTACTTCATCTCTAAGTTTCTTTATGTTATAATTTACTTTCCCCATTATTTTTTATTTTATAAGAACAGTAATGACCTAGATCCACCGTTAGCAGATATTGTCTTTTTGACTTTTCTTTTCAGGCTCTTTTCTTTTCAGGCTTCCCCTCAAAGCTTTAAAACGCGTCTATTAGGAGAAGGTTTCCACGCCCTTATAAAAGGTATTTTGTTCTCCTCATTAACCAATGTTAGACATCATAAACACGTTTTTTTGTTTTTAAGAATCTAACTAAGAATCCAAACATTGTATCGAATAAACATAAAAATCATGCTATTACAAAGAAACAAACCACGAAACGATTATCAAACCGGACATAAACCACCTGAACGATCAAAATATATCTAACGGTCTAAAGACACTTAAATTTGTAGCACATGTTTAAAAGCCATCAAGAAAGAGAATAAACAACAATAATAATTAATCAAGAAACATTGAAGTACAGTGAATTCAGTCCAGTTTACCTAATTCATGAATGTATCACAGTTGGAATAAGAAGCGTCCTTTGTCAATTCATATGGACAACCTTGTGCATGCATAAGCTTAGGATGTGAATCCAATGATTATGATTCAAAATTTTGGATCAGTTTCATCATCATTATCCTATTATGACTAAAGTTTACCTATGGAGTAAACTTTATGAACTGATATTTTATTAATCCTTGTTACGAGTAAGGACGGGAAGTAGTATAGGGACTATAGTTAAACATATAGGGACTAAAAGACGATTTAACCAAATAAATATGGGCTAAAAAGTACCTAACCTATCATATGCGAACTCTTTAGCCTAGTATGTAACAGCTCAAGTCTATCGCTAGCAAATATCGTAAGTCTTACAATTTTGAAAGCACGTCTACTAAAGAGAGGTTTCTACACCCTTATAAGAAATGTTTTGTTCCACTTTTCAACCGACGTGGGATCTCACAATTCACATCTCTTAGGAGTCCAACATCCTTGCAGTCACATTGCCTGGTGTCAGGCTGATACAATTTGTAACAACCCAAATCCACCGCTAGCAGTTGTTGTCTGTTTTGGCCCGTTATGTATCGTGTTTTTAAAACGCATCTACTAGGGTGAGGTTTTCACACTTATAAGGAATGTTTTGTTCCATCTCCAACCGATGTGAGATCTCAAATACAATCTCCTAGTCATCTAATACGAGTATACAACAACTACTTAGTACAATTATGTAAAATCCACCTTTATAGCCACCATGATAATTAAGCAATCACACATTAAATATTAGCCATCTAATCAATCATTAAGATCATGCCAGACATACTGAAAAAAAATGATATGATAATGTGACTAAATATAAATGGCAAAAGAATAAGATACATTACCAACCAAATGGGATGCTCAAATAGTGGGAACCAAGCTCTATTTGTTGGTGGAATCATTGAATAGGCTCCAAGAACCTGCAACAATTTGAAATGCCTAATCACCTGTAAAATGATTAGAAATCAAATCAAATAGAATGATTTAGATTGTTAAGGGATCACTACTTGACAGAAGGAAAGAAAGGGAATTCCCATTCTAAAATATCATATAAAGTAATTAATCATGAGTACACTTCTCTTTTGGGTAACAAGATTCGCCTAGACTCACTAAACAATTGAAAATAAAGCATAAAAATTATAAGTGTGTGATTTACACAACTTTAGAAAGACTGTGTTGGGGTGGATATGTGACAAATCCAAATAATATGAAGCTAACTTATAATAATGAATACTTCTATGAATGAACCAGAAACAAACTAATAATTATTATTGGTTGGACTCTGGTTTTGTGGTTGCACTGCCATTCTGCTGCATATGCTGTTGGTGCTGCTGCTGAAGCTGAAGCTGGAGTCCATGGTGATTCATAGATGATTGAGACATTACCCCGTTTGAGGGATGAGATTGCGCGTTTATATCGGTTGTAGCGAGCTTCAATCGCTGAACCTCCCCAGTTAACGCTTCATTTAGAGCTGCCACATTTGATAACAATTTCATTGAAAAGAAATGCAGAAGAGGAAGAACTCATGTCAAGCAAATTCAGAAAGGTTTTCCATTTAGCACAAAAAGAAGGAAAAGGGTAATTATCAGAAAGGCTTATATCAACTGCAATACAAAGCAACGAAGATGATTGTTCTAAAACTTATTCTTCGTTCCAAGAAGACTTCACTATCATTTGACGAAATAAGGATCAAGTAAAAGCCCTCACCAAAAGCAAGCTATAGATTACCATATAAAATAAGAGTGAGAGGCCATTGTCTTCGGTTAGAAATGTAACAGTCCAAGCCCACCGCTAACAGATATTGTCCTCTTTAAACTTTCCCTTTCGAGCTTCCTCTCAAGGTTTTAAAACGCGTTTGTTACGGAAAGGTTTTCACGCCCTTATAAGGAATGTTTCGTTCCCCTCTCCAACCGACGTGGGATCTCACAGAGCTAGTATAATAAGCTAAAAACAAATTTCCAGAATTGCTAAGCAAAAGGGCATAATACATTTCGCTCCCCTCTCCAACCGACGTGGGATCTCACAGACGCGTCTACTTGGGAATCTGCCTCGAGTGTTGATGTACGATGAAAGAAGAGAAAGTGGCCTAGTAGTTAGCCTAGCCATGACCTACAGAGCGTCTATGGTCCGCTGACGTGTACCAGTTTACCAGTAATCTAATGATAAAAATTGAAAACTCTACAAGCCACGATGATGGGTAAAACAACAAGTAACATTCCATTATAATGTACTAAAGAGAGGTATGAACTTGTATTGTATTGACAATGATACTGTCTGAAAACTGAGCCATGCCAGTCAGAAGGATTCATGGTTCAATACTGAAAAAAAAAACACTAAAAGATATGGTTTCCAAAGCATTAATCTGACAAATACTAAAAATATACAGAGAGTAATGTAGCAGAAATATTAGGCTAACATAATAAAAGTTAATTCATGATTCAATGCTATGGAAGAAAAACCTTTCCAATCAAGTATTAAAGGAACATAACTAAGAGAAAAGGAATCAATACCATCCCGTAATTGTGCTTGCTGTTCCATGGCTTGGAGACGAAACTTCAGCTCATTATTCTGATTTGTAAGTCCAACTGAGTCTCGCTAAATACGAAATAGTCACAGTAAAACTCGAAAATTTAGGCACAGAAAATGGAGATAGAAAATAGTTGTCACAGCTCAAAATCTCTACCTGTAGAAGTGTGAGTTGGGCAGACAGCGTGGTAGCTTCTGTCTGTAGAGTCTGAACCTTGTGTTCCAACTCAGATATATACCGCATTTTACGTTCTTTCGATCGAGCAGCAGATTGACGGTTGGCCAAGATCCTGAAGTAAACCCATAACTCAAGATTAGCAATCACTGGATGAAGTCATTTTAGTAAATTAGTTGCAAACATGATTTACAATACCTCTTAGCACGCTTGGGATCGGATAGTGCAATCTCAGCAAGTTTGTCGTTCGCCATAATTTTCTTCAGTTCGGCCCCACTGAACTCACCATTACCAAACTCCAAACTGAATGGAGATGAATTACCATCAACTAAGTTGTTTGAAGAAAGATGCCCCGGACGAACACCAGGTGGTGTGGGAGGCATTTTGGGTGACTCATCACCAAACTGCAGCTTCCCCATGAAACTATCCATGGAGACACTTCGATAATGTCTGGTCGTTGGAGCAATATCGCCCCCTGCAGTTCGTTTGATCCCTTCCCTCTTTTCAGCAGAGGAATTCAATCCAGGCATTTGAGCGCTATCCCCACTTTCATTTACACTGCTTTCTGCTTCATTATCACTGCTCTCACCCCCATTTGTCTTTGTTCCACTACCTCTACTATCCAAATCCTCCCGTTTCTCATGACCATTCTTGTCGTTGGCCCCAGAGGAGTTGAACAAATCAATATTATCCAAATTCATATAAGCAGAGAATAAATCATCCACAGTGTCCCCTTCGGGCTTCCTTTCACCCATTCCTTCCAAATTGTTATCAATGCCTTTCTCCAAACTAGGCTCTCTTTTAACAAACTGGCTACCCGGCTTAAATATGCCCACATTCTCTTTACTATTTGTTGATCGCTCCAATCTACCTGAGCCACTTAAAGGGATAAGAGGAGATGACTGAATCATCGAAGATAATCCAAATGGAATATCACTATTGGACCGCCTATGTGCTTTACGAGGGGGTAAAGCATCTCCCATCTGCGAAGAATTGGCCCTCATATAAGGTGAGGGAGGCAACAAAGAATGTGAACTAGCATCCCTGTCCTCCATTGATGTATCTGCAGAAACCTGATCTGAATTCGATGTAGATGGGGAGTCCCGAAATGGAGAGGGGCTTAAAGGCGGCAAAGAATCGAAAGAGAAGAAAGAAGGCTGAGATAACGATCGTGAATGAGTAGGAACAGAGCTATAACTGTGCTGGTTCATCGGACGCGACACCGGGATCTGAGAATACGGAGAGATTGGTGGGATCTGCGGTGGTATCCCAATTCTTCGATTATTATCTCCAAGAAAATTCGACTGAAAATGCTGTGGACGGCCTTGTGAGCAGTTCATTTGAGAAATTTTAAGCTGATCCATAGAGAAATTATGCTTCACAGAAGAGGAGGAAGATGTTCCAAACGAACATTGAAGATTTCGAAAGCTATCAGTATGAACATCTTCAGTATCACCCATTTCGCCCCAAACACTTACGTAACTCTGATCGGAAGTAACCTAGACCACCAATTCCCACAGCTATGCAAATTGAATTCCAATCATAAACACAAACAATCAACCATTCAATCTGCCATACATTAAACAAAGAAAACTTCACGAACTGAACCTAAAAAATCAATGAAACAACGTAAAAGCTACAAAACGTTCAAAAATAAAGCGAATGACTCCTCATTGACGATAATGAACACTTCATAGCTTTAGTAATACCTCCTAACCAGCAGCAAGAAACTCAACAATGGCGTCCACGAAAGCCAACGACGTTCAAACGAACAGCTAGGCTTCAGTCCAAATGCCACAACATTTCTAGAAGATGAAGCATTTCCGGTCAAAAACCAGCGCGTGAGCTTTAAACTAATTTCCCGGCGGGAATCCCGAGATAACGCCGGCGATTTCTCTCTCTTAACACTCACAATAACGATGACGACTCCTCCTGGTACACCGATTTTCATGACGCGTACGCGTGAATTTAATAAGAATTTGCATTTCACCCGAATTTGCATTTTCCTTTCATTTCAATTTCATTCCGACCGCATTTCGGCCTTTTTTTTTATTATTTTTTTATATCCCAAATTTCAATTAAATTATTTTGGGATTAAATTCTATAAGATTACATGTCGGGATAAGGTTCTAAAAATTTTCAATTTCTTAAACAAAAAAATAAATTAATTAATTAAGATTATAACCTTTTTCCTCCAAATATTTAATTTCTTCTCCTTTTTTTTTTATCTTTCCACGTTGGAATTTCTATTTAGAAGGAATAAAAATAAAATATAAATGGCAAAATTGGAAAATTCATTATTAAAAGAAAAATACTTGAATATTACTATTATTATTATGATGATGATTATTATTATTATTAATATTATTATTATGTAGGGGAAATAGTTTTGGGTTTTTACCATGGTGAATTAAAATTTACCTTTTAATTTACTTTTTTAACCGAGCTCTTTCGTTTTAACCGCTAAATATACGACATCCGAATAAAGAAAGTGTATATAAATGAACCAAAATTATATCCGAACGAGATCGATCCAGATGACTAAGAAAAAATTTTAAAAAAATTTACTTAATATACCAATAAGGTGCATCTTTTTTATCGGTGACTTAGTCGCAACAATTTTATGGTTAAGTTTGTTCTGAGCAATTAATTTTTCTAAAAAAAAACGTTTATGAGAATATTTTTCACTCTTACACGCGGAAAATAATTAAAATGTATTACCTATAAATTAATTTGTAAAATTTAAATTATTTATAATTAAATTAGTTTCATTAATTTTCAATCGCTATTTAAATTAAATTTTATTTCTTTTTAAAATAAAACAAAACCCATTGGAGAAAATATTGCTTGCACGATTAACAAAGAGGAATTTGATTCTTTATTTTAAAATAGTAATTAAAAAAAAGTTAAAATTATATTATCTAGAAAAATAAATAAATATTTTTTTTTATTTATAAAATAATATATAGGATAAGGTTTTTGGGTTGTGGGCAACCGTTATTTGCTCTTTATTATTATTATTTAATACACGTTTTACAAGAAGCCCTTTAGTTGACTTTTATTTCCTGATTAGTGCCGCTGATTCCTATTTTCTTAAACCATTAATTCAATTTTATATATTTTTTACATTTTAAATTGTTTTCTTAATATTTATTTGATTTTTTTTATTGTAAATATGTTATTTTTAATTTTTTACATTTTAAATTGTTTTCTTAATATTTATTTGATTTTTTTTATTGTAAATATGTTATTTTTAATTTTTTACAATGGCATTTTTAGGATATTATTAGTATTATTATTTTGAATTCAATAATACGTGAATCTGGGTTTAACCGTCCAACCCTAAGCCCACTGTTAGAAAAAGTCCAAAGAGAATAATATTTATTATCGGTAGACTTGAGCGGTTACAAATGGTATTAGAGTCAAACACGGGACAATGTGCTAGCGAGAAGACTAAAGTCCGAGAGGAGGTGGACACTAGGCGGTGTGTCAGCGAGGACACTGGGTTCCAGAGAGGGTGGATTGTAAAATCTTACCTCGGTTGAAAAGAATAACAAAGCATTTTTTATAAGAGTGTGGAAAACTCTCTCTAACAGACTGCGTTTTAAAAACCTTGAGAGAAATATCTAAAGGAAAAACTCAAATATGACAATATCGACTAGTGGTAGACTTGAACTGTTACACTGTGAATACTCGAATCTTTGACATTTTCGTCGATGATATATATTTAAATAAAAATATATAATTAGAAGACATTGGTTTTTATTTATTTATTATTATTATTAATCTTAAAATAACCGAAAAAATATATAAAATTGAGATATTTTTAGTTTAAGATAAATATAGGCACACGTTGTATGTGTTTGGTAGAACCAACTTAATGCATATTATATGGTGCCTCCACCCTCCAACATAACCACGTAACTTAATCATATTTGAATTATACATTGTATTATATTATATTATATAGTTTTTTATTTTTTTATAAATGTCATTCCGTGTTTTTACCTAACAAATAGATAAATCGTTTTCAATTGACCGTATAAAATCAAAATTTTGTAAAATTAGAGATGTACGTGAGGTGTCACAATCGCACTCTTACAGTAGATGAACATTAAACAAGTCAGCCATAAGAAATTCGGACATCACGGATAACGTCGACGTATGCTCGAATCTCGAGTCACGTTTGTAATGTTTTAATAACACGAGCGATGAAATACGTCAAAATAAATTTTAAGGAACGTAATGTTATAAGCCAAGAGTGATTAGGCAACAACAAGGACCTTGATAGCATATAACCCGGATAGAAAGAAGTGACAACTACTCATTTCTCTCTATACTAAATTTCGGGGCGATTTAACTCTGGCGCATGTAGACATGATTTTGGTGAACGGTTGTACACGCCAGTAAAAGTGGGCATGCGACCATGGACAACGTGTCGTGTACCAACAAATTTCAAAATTTCAAAATTATTTTTAGAATCTCGAAAGTTAAATGTTTTATTTTTTTTTTTTGTATCTATTTTATGTCAGTTTCCCAATTATTTCCATTATTTAATTGCGTCATAAATCTAAATTAAATGTGAAATATGTAAATATTATTTTTTAAATTAATATAAAATATATATTATTAGTCAAGTTATTTTTCAATTTTAAAATTTTATAAATCTAAATAAATTAATATAAAATNTCCATTATTTAATTGCGTCATAAATCTAAATTAAATGTGAAATATGTAAATATTATTTTTTAAATTAATATAAAATATATATTATTAGTCAAGTTATTTTTCAATTTTAAAATTTTATAAATCTAAATTTACATGGTAAAAAAATATTAGGAGTATGACCTATTTTAATAAATATTAAAATCTACATTAAAATTTCAATAAATTAAATAAATAAATAAATAAAATTGGTGTAAGATGAATAAATGAGGGAATAATTAGAGTATTTATATATTAAAAAAAAAGTTAAATTGATTCTTTTTCAACCCGAGATAACTTAAAAAAAGGAGAATGATATGGTTACATTAAGTAGTCTGTCTGACATACCCACATGAGTCATTCTAACATGTTTTATCCTCAGGATCACTTTTATTCGAATATAGTATTAGTTCATTCATGTACTTCTTCTTTTAGTCGAGTGTCAAATGTCCACTGATTTTGGNTCAATAAATTAAATAAATAAATAAATAAAATTGGTGTAAGATGAATAAATGAGGGAATAATTAGAGTATTTATATATTAAAAAAAAAGTTAAATTGATTCTTTTTCAACCCGAGATAACTTAAAAAAAGGAGAATGATATGGTTACATTAAGTAGTTAAATTGATTCTTTTTCAACCCGAGATAACTTAAAAAAAGGAGAATGATATGGTTACATTAAGTAGTTTGTCTGACATACCCACATGAGTCATTCTAACATGTTTTATCCTCAGGATCACTTTTATTCGAATATAGTATTAGTTCATTCATGTACTTCTTCTTTTAGTCGAGTGTCAAATGTCCACTGATTTTGGCTTTGGTTCATCCTCGAACCACAATTTATTGGGTGAGAAACTGCTCTGATATCACTTTAACAACCCATGCCTAAGATTCGAATCAGGATCCAAAACCCATATTCGACACCTGATGGCCCCGACATTCCCTTGTGACATGGCTATGTTACTTATTCTTTACAGACCAATACGAGTCATTCCAACATATTTTACCTGAATTCACATGGATGAAAAATTATAGAGATCACTTAAGGTAGAATTGCTCAAAGAAGCATGTTTAACTATGAAGTTTCTATGATCGGGTTATCGAAAAATAAGGTATATATATTCAATTATTTAAAAGAAATAAATTAATTTTTTTAGTAATTAAAAGAGTCAAATGTCAACCATATGGACCGCTCAACGTTAATAGAAATTGTGATTTGAAAAAGGAAAAAGAATAACGAATTATTTTTTCTGAAAAAAGAATAAAGAAAAAAAAGCATAGGGTACGCGATGCTCACCACGTGGGAAGAAATGCACCGTCGATTTCACTGTCACGTGGGACCGAACCTAAGAAGAGCACGTGTTGATAGATACACGTGGCGAGATATGAGTGGTGCTAAGGAGGAAAAATGGGAAACGCTTTATTTTATTTTATTTATTTATTTATTTATTAATTTTTTTTTTTTTTGCAAGAAAAAGGGAAGAAAAAATATTTTGAGAAGAGCTTATCCACTCTCATTGAAGTCATTGTCTTGAGGCTCAATAAAGGCTAATGGGCCATCATTAGTTATAAGAGAGGGCCCATTAATGTTTGACAATGAATGTCCTTTTTCGTCATTTCACAATAATGAATAGAATCCCGCTCGTTAATCGTCGTTTAGACGGGAAATAAAAGAGAGAGTGAGGAGAAATTTCTTTTCATTAACCGAATGAAACTGAAGACGAGGAATGGAAGAAGAGAGAGTGGGGAGAAATTTCTTTTGGTTAACTGAACAAAACAAGAGACCGGGATTGCATTCCTCTCTCCATCCTGTCCTCGACCTGACCTGACCCGAAGCCCCACACCCACCTATATCCCACTTTTATATATGAAAACTGATACACAAAACTCGATCTCCCAAAAACAAATGATTTTTTTTTAGAGGGAGAAATTAAATAATATTATATAAATGAATTCATTAAAAAGAACATTTAATAACATTTGAAATATCAACATCCAATTAATTTAAAAGATCTCATCTCGTTGAAAATCCTCATTTAAATTTGGTAGGGAGACAAGAAATAATGTCAATGAGATTCAAACATCTTAAAATGTGTGTGGACTCTGTCCGTTGCTCTGATACCATGTTAATGTTAGGAATCACGATTCTCCATAATGGTATGATATTGTCCACTTTGAGCATAAGCTCTCGTGGCTTTGCTTTGGGCTTCCCCGAAAGACCTCATACCAATAGAGATAGTAT